ATACCAGAATAAGAAAAACGGAGAGAATGAAAGAACGAGAGAGCAAAACAAGTGAAAGAGCGAATACGAAAGAGAAGATAGGGGAGTGAAAGGGAGAGAGGGAGAAATGCTATATCGCCCAGAACATAATTCGGGGGTCAGAATACAGAACTTGTGGGCAAAATTTTTGGTCACTCCTCGGTTGGACACCTGCAAATATCTTGGCGGAGTGAAAAGAGGGGATGAAAGGTAGGTCCTGTCGAGGGGTGGAGGAGGGTGCGCAGGCAAGAAAAGGAGGGACTCTGGGCGGTGGCAGAAAGGGAGAAAGAGGCGGAGAAAAAAATTAGACGCATCTCACAGAGGGGTAGACCGGTTCGTCTGGTCTTTGATTTGAAGCCAACAGTGTGCCCCCATTCCTTTTTTCCCATTTTGATGCCCCACGGGCCTCCCCCTTGGTTGGTTCATGCGGCCATCACCCCTGCGACGTTGTCGCCTGATTGAGGCACAGCCCTTCCACCAACACTCTTTCCCGATTTTTTTAATGAGACCGTTCGCTGCTACCACTCCGGATGATTGCTTATCCTTCCCGGATTTAAATTTCATCTTCCCGAATCCTTTAATAGAATTCCCTTACAGAGTTTCTGTGGCAACGGTGTCTTTCTGTTTTGACGATTATGAAAGTAAGTTTCGATTACTCTGTCTTCGGATTTCGGCTGTTTTTGATAATAGGAACGCCGTGCTGATATTAGGAAGACGAAGATACCTGTAATGTATTTTAATTGTCAGTGTGTCGTAGACTGTGATTGAGGAAATTGTGAAGATTGCTTAAAACTTTTGAAGTGAAAGAAGATTTGTGTTTAATGAAATTTGATTCTTTTTAATACTGAATAAGACTTTACACCCAGTGTGTTGTATTTTGTTTATTTATGAATTGATTATATGAACTGTGAAAAATTGATACCAAAAGGAACTGTACTGAGTGAAATATGTTAAAATATGCAATTAAACGGATATGACAATATTATACTTGATTAAATGGATATGACAATAGATATACTTGATTCAAAATGACTGCATTTTCTGCGTGGAGCGAAGAAGGACGAAATTCCGAACGCATTGACCTAGTATCATTGAAATAACCATTTGTTCATCCTTGGCGCTATCGCTATGACATTGCACTTTTTCGTGCATGTTTCTTCGAGTATGTCAGAATTAATATCGGAAGACATTTTGCGGCATGATAAATGGTGACTTGTTAATTGCTGTTATAAATTGGGACACGTTTAGCACCGTCAAGACATTACATAATTCTGATTTCACTCGCTAATACGAAAAGAGATATGTTCTTCAAGAACGCGGAATGATGAGAGTTAGGTGTGCATTTGTATTCACACTTCTCACGAACATTTATTTAATGTCACATTCACGCCCAAACGAAATTCTCCGCCGGTAATTCGCGCATTCTGATCTCCATATGAATTCGAGACTTTCAAGATTCTCAGAAAATTCAAATTACAGTCCTAGAGTCTGTAAAAATCAATAGTAATGAAAAACACAATAACAAAGGAGCAGGAAACAATCGGTACTCTTTATTGTCGGTGATCGAGAACACGATACCATAGTGCCTATATCAGCTTTTCTATTGATAACACGTTTGAAGTTACTAATTTTGTTCAACGAAAGCAGTTTTAAGACGAAATAATGGTTACAGAAAAATCATATGTGAAAAATGCCTCGTTCCTTCATGGTTCAGTTATTTTACTGCCTAAACATGTTTCAGCTGGATATAGGTCCCTTTAATAAAAGTTACTTATGCCAGTTTATGGCTTGAGCAATAAACGAATCGACATACGTTATTAATAATTTTTAAGAGTTGGGAACTGGACATGAAATTACAATAAAGGAAATAGTGTCCTAGCGATATTTGAATTTGTGATATTGCTAATTAAAAACGCAGCGTATGACGTAAGTACTGTATTAAATACAATTACATTTGTTTTGTATGTATTATTTAATATAAAAATAACCGAAACACTATATCCTTGCATAGTAATATGGTTTTCGTAGAATGAATTGTATATCGTGATAAAACTTGTACTTTCTATTGAAATCCTGGGCGATAACGATTAATTATTGAGAAATTATAATAATTAATGATAAGTTAAATAGTATTAATCAATATTAATGACAGTATCATATGATACCCAAAATAACGAATTCTAAGATGTAACTATAATTTCAGAAATTCAAATTTTATCTTTCATTAGATATTTATACTACTTTGAAATAGATTACGAGGTTATTCGTTTAAGATGTAATAATAATGAGTAATTTTTGAGAATAAGTTTTATTCAATTCTTTATATTCAACTTATTCACACACACATGGAAGAAAATATTATTTATGTATTTTTACTGCGATGATAAATGCCATTTTTAATTTATGTTTTGCACTTGTAAATGATACTATTTCATAATATTCACGACTCATCGTGTATTTTAAGAAAAGTTTTCTTCCGGCATGCAGGTGTGGATGATACCTAACGCCTGGCACTCAGCAATTAAATGAACTTATCATTTATTCTGCACGTTCAGCGGTCTATAAGAAGGAGAAAGAACAATCAGTTAATTACAGAGTTTATTCCAACAGTGTGTTAATAATTACGAACTCCATGAAACGCGTCGGGAGGTGGGAATGTATAACGAAATCCCATTGCAAAATGTTTAATGAGTCAGAAGCTCTGTAACCCTTTTTCATAATTACTTCCTTAAGCGGAATAGCATAATAGTATGTATACTGAGAATATATAACATTTTATTCAATGGTTTATTCAACGATTTTTATTTTATATTCTTGCATACTCTTGTTCATAAAGTATTAAGTAATTTTACTGAATATAAATAAAAGAAACAGATAAAGTGCGATAATTCTACCTTAGATTTAAAATAAATAAATTTTTATTGATTTTTCCTTTTAATTTACCTAGAAATAATCGTTCTAATTAATTATGTCTTTGATGGTAACCATTTAAAAATAATTCTTTACTAATCCCATTTCAATTCTTTCACAAGCTCAGAAATATATTATATTTCTCTCTTACTTTCAATGAATAGTTTAAGCTTCTCTGTATTGTGAATAAATTAATAAAATTCAATTATTAGCAACTTATATTTCAAATCCATTAAGGTACAATTGTAACCTTATCATTTTTTAAATACTTCATTTCCATTTAGTTTGACTTTTTTAAAAAGAATTATTCAAATTAGAAGATTGTTAATCACGATAATCCTGCAATAAATATTCGTCTTTGTCAAAGCGGCGGTCTTATCTATCGACCAGAAGGCAATAATAAATATGAATATATATAAATAAATATTTAATCAATTATTATGAATTTCATACAAAATTCATAATTTAATCTTTTCATTATTTATATTTCTCCATATTATAGTCTTAATTTATTTCGGTTATTCAATATTTCCCAAATCCTTCGAAACCTGCTAAATGTATTCAAAACTCTAAAACAGAAATTCAATTAATATTCCTATTATTACGAAATCAATTTTCAAAACTTGTGCAACGAACACGTGTTCGTGTTTACAATCATTTAAAACGACCGAGAAGAGAAAGATGTTATTCGAGTTTTATTCCGCACCAGACATATTCTATGAATAATCAAATTTCATTTTTTCGCGAGCAGAATCGCGCAGGAAAAAAATGACCTACATTCTCGATTTAATTTTGCACGAGAGGACTCTACTCACTTTCAGTAAATCCGCTAACGCACGTGAGCGTTTTATTGCGAACCGGCCACTCGTGAGGCTAGCTACTGCAGAGCTGGCCGCGATAGGCCCTTCGTCGTGGGAAACTACGACTTTTCCTTCCGACTGGAACAGGAAATCTATTTTTGCAGCTACTCATGCGCTGTGAAATTATGCGTGCGTGCTTTACCGGTTTTTCTGACAAACGGTTCAGTCACTGATCAATTCCAGAATGACGTTAATCGCACGGTCCAACTTTTTGCCAAGTCTAAAGATTGCTGTACAAGAAATCCAATTCCGTGATTACGTTTCAACGTAATTTATATAATTGGCACAGATACAAGTAATCCTTATATTTCGAAAATATTCGTACTTACAAGATTAAAAAGGTCGATCGTTTTACTCGAACTGTTTTTCCTCCACTTATTTCGTGTTTGCGAAGTTATATTTAAAAGAAAATGGGGAAACGCTTCTGGAATGTAAATATTTGTTGATAACCTTGGATGTGAATTTTTACTCAAGGAAACGTGTATTTTTCGCGAGAATCTTTACATTCTCGGAAAGCTGAATTTCAACCAGAATTTCCGTGACGTTTTTCCGTGTAATTAGTAACATTACCCGACGAAAAAAGTTTGTCGTACTTTGTCGTATCAGGGTTCTGCTACCAGAAACGAATAGTCGTGCACGAAACGATTATATCAACGAAGCAAACGTTGAGGACAATTAACTATGATCGATGAGCCAATCAGTCGAACGACTAACAGTTAGTGGTTGCAGGACCTCAACTGCTTGGCGAGACAGCAATATGTGCATCGAGATTTCTTTAACTCATTTCAATTGGTTCAAATTAACTCTGCTTATGTGTACGTATCGCGTTCGCCAACTTTTTTTTTTATCGATCTGTGTTCCTTATAAAACCCCTTTATTGTAGGTATATCATGACCGATAAATAGTAAATCAATGCCCTCTTATGTGATTCGCCGAAATGTTAACGATATGCGGACAATCCAAAGAAACGAAAGATCTTAAACTCTTGGATGAGAAGTAAGTATTCTTTTCTATACAATTCTTCGGTGACACATTGGTACATCAATTTAGAGAATGTAAGGTTATCTCTGTCATAATTTAACCGAACAAACTACGTTTTTTAATCCAATTTCGATCGATTTTACTCGTTCCAGTTTTCTACTTATGTAATTCTCCTATATATCGCTGCAAACAAATTTTTGTAAAAGAATATTCTTGAAATTTTGTATTTATTTGAAACTTTCCGTTTGTGAAAATAGACATCAAATTTTTATTAATGATGGACAAAGATTACTTTATAATAAAGTTTATTTTAAACTTGAACAATCGCATTTATTGCAATAAATGAAGAAGAACACTTTTATTTAATACAACACAACGGGGAGAAAAAATGTTATTCTCATATCTCCATAATAAGAAATGAATTTAATTTAAAAACTTTTCTTAGAACTAAAAATACGTATTTAACATAACAGTATTTTTCAATTACGTGAAGATGTGTAACATAAAAGTGCTTTACGAAAACAAATATTGGGTCATCTCATAAATAATGCGGTTTTTGATATTCGTTTTATTTCTAAACATAAAGATAAAAAAAACCTTTTTAAAATTAATTGTAATGTATAAATAGACATTTTGTAGATAATGAAGGAGAATATGTTTTAGATTAAAAACAGTTTTGTTCGTCTTTACTTTTAAAAATAAAAAAATATAAAAACCGCATTATTTATGGGATAACCTAATATATAAATTGGATACTAATAACTAGCTACTAGGTCAACCCTTTCCGGTACGATTTAATTATGAAAACTTGTGTATGATAGAAGTATTTTATCTTTATCAAAGAAAACAACGTGTTTTATTTTAATTCACACATTTTGCTAATTAAAAGAATATTAATCAACTTCTTGCCCTATGATTTATTTCTTTATACTATAAACTTTAGCTATGAATGATACAACTACTTTATCTTTAACAATTTATTAGGCAAAGAAAAAAGTTCGATGATTATTCCATGTTTACGTTTACTCTAAATTCTTCCAATTAATAATAGAAAAGTAATATTTAATTTATATTTAAAAGAAATAAATAACACTTAGATTTTCCAAATTCAGTTTAAAATTTTCACTACGAGTTTGATACGATATTGTAAGTCAAGGGTTTAAAAGTAATCTAGCAAGGTATTGCTAACTATTATGTCATTTTATTCGCAATTAGGAACTGCAGAAATTTTGTACATGTAAAAACATGTTACGTGTCACTTTAGTCGCATGACGAGCATAGCTCGTCACTGGACGGTTTGGCACGAAAAACCAATGACCAACTGTACTCGTAATTTTACCGCAAGGTGTTAAGAATGAACACTCGGAACGTTTTTATCTATAAAACGAACAAAAGGTTTCTTATTAAATCACTCGAACCAATGACTCACTTGCAGGTTAAAGTTAAGCAGTGCTTGTCCAGACGTTCGTGAAGCAGAGGACGACAAAAAAGAAGATTATTTCAGTCAGGAAATTACGAGACTCAGGGCCACGAACACCGATAATGCATTAATCATCTCAAGAAGAGACCGCCTAAGGCAAATTTACGAGCGCGATGCGATCGAGCTAGAAAATTTGATACGGGCCTTGGGTTACGCCTTCATTCCCACACAACCTTGACCATTTTTGTCGCGTCTTTTTTTTGTTCGTTTGGCGACCTTCATTGTAACGAATGAATAGTAAACGCAATACTTTCATCGTTTTCATTTCGAGTATACCTCGTCAGGATTTGATTGAATGCGTTTTGTGGATTGGATATTAAGGTATAGATACATTATCAAGGAATTTGCGACATATTGTTCCGATGGAGACTTGCAGAAATATTTATATTCCCATTCTGTTCAGTTTTATTTTGTTTCGTTTAATTTTATTTAATTTTATTTCATTCTATTTCACTTTATTTCCTTTCCATTGTAAGAGAATTTAATTTGCTACGGGCAATCTCAAATGCGTTTGCACACATCATGAGAGTCAGAAAAAAATGACGCAAATTGCTTTCTAATCTGCCTCTTTAGAAACGTAACAGAAATAATGACTACGATGAAAATGAAACTGGAATATAATGCAGAATATAAATTACATATTTCAGCGACCGTTCCGTCGTTGATGGCACAACAATGAGTAAGTAAATGTCGCGCTGTAGTCGCCAAAACAATCGCTGCGATGGCCCACGAGGTAGTTCCAGGAAAGGTCTAATTTATGACACCCTCAAGTGCTATCGCTTTCTCTTCCTGTGTTCCAGAAGGATGATAGGCAATCATTACGGAACGGTTCGAGGAATATTCAAAGTTTCACGTTCCCCTAGATAGAAAATGCAGGAATTCGGTAACAATAGTTTCTGCAGATTATTCATTCTACATGAATTAAAATAAAATACATTAAAATCTTAATTACCCGAATCAATCGAATAATTATTTATTTTAAAACATTTTATAGAGAATTAAATTAAATATAAACAAAACATTTAACAAGTTTAATAACTTGTTTTCCATTCCTACTCTTGGTAGCTGACTTTTTTCAATTGGAATTATGTTGAATAGATTTGTCTATTATTTTTATTGATTCCTATTGATTTCTCTAATTGTCAAAATCTAAAATAAACGAACATCTATTTCTCTAGAGATAATACAATGAACGGTATAATGAATTTCCGTAAACCCAGCGTTAATAACCAAAGTTCTATTGTATTCCAATTTGTACGAAGAAATAAAACCGGTCCTGGTGACATCTCTTTTCAGATGCAATTAGGTACTTTCAATCACTCCAATGTACACTACGCAGACTGTTCAGGATATATAAATTAAAGACGGAGAAAGTATCCATAAAGACGATTTATTAAACATTAGAGATACATATAGGTACGCACAGACGTCCATTGGCGTGACATAAATAAAATATATAGACGTATGCATATATCTTACATAATAACAGTAAGTGAAAATAGACAGATTATCCTTGCTTTGTTGAACTTTGGTAAAATAGTTCGTACCAAAAGGAAAAACTAATATAATATACGAGGGACATCAAAGGAAATTCTAGACGGACATTTCCATTTCACTCTATGTACACATCCTAGTAGGTATATAAAGTCGACAACTTAAGCAGTTATCTTGGCTCGCACTTTAATTTACAACTGTGCTGGCTACTAAATTAGATGCGAATACTTTCTTACCGGTAATTTTGCCATAGTCCCTCCAATATAGTTTTTGCAATTCATTGTTTCTTCAATATATCGTACTGTTAAATCATTCGATCGTGGTTCTTGGTGTGAGTACTAGGGGATTTTATATCCAAACTAATCGGAATAAGAACATTTTTCATTATTAGAACGATCAAATTTTATTCAAACAAAAACTGGCAAACTTGTTCATCGTCCTTTTGGCTGCAAATTTAGAGTTGTCGAATTACGTAACTGTGAATAGTTCCTAGTTGACATACGTAATATTCAGATATTATTCATATAATACATGTTCAAATAAGTGATTTTATTCAATTTGAAAACAAAAATGGAAGTAATTCTGCTTTAGTCAAAGCTACCACTTTTACGGTCAGTATAAGAAAGTTGGACATTATCATGTATTCGAAAATCTTGTTGTCCAAAAATAGAGCACAATTTAAAGCACAGATTGGAAATAAAATTTTTGGTGAAAAGTGACAAATCGTTCGTAGAGATTTATGAAATAAGGATGTATCGGTATAATATCACACATTTAGTTGAATAAAATAATTTTAAGAAAAACATGGATTCATTGAGGATACTAAGCTTTTTCTAAAAACGAAAACCTCGAAGTATTCAAAATACAAAGTCACTATCTCAAAGATCAAACTTGAAAAAAAGAAACAAAAAACAGACACAGAGTAAATTCCAAACTCAAACTCTGACTCAGACACAGATACCAGATTAAATACATTATGGATGGCATCAGAGTTGATATTTAAAAAAAGTCAAACGTATATTAATAGCAACCGAACATCATTTCAACAACAATTTGTCCTATTGTAATCGCAATTTACAGCACAAAAGCCTATGAGTCACGGCATTAAACATAATAAATCTCAATCTATTCGACACTTGCTTATGGACGGTCTTTAAGAAAAAAGCGTTTATCGAAAATCTTTCATGGCATGTTCGGAAGATGTGATTCTTCAACAATTGGTAGATGTCTACAAAAACCTTACCAGGAATATCTCTCTATTGCCACAACACATGATAGACATTACTACATCATCCACAATTGTGTATACAGCAATAAGACCTACTGTTGCATAGTATGCAATGCTTATGGACTTCAATCATTTGGACATAATGATAGACCAGAAAGAAGATTATCTAGGAGTTAACACCGAAAAATCGTTTTGAGAGCATCTTTCAACATCAAACACTGATTGCATCTTATCTCATAAGATCCAAACAACTGGACGAATTTTTATTGGGTTGATGCAAGAATTTTTAACTTGTATGTATATGATTAACATTAAAACTACCGAGCAATTAAATTGACTTTTTAAAACTCTTCTATAGAAACTTCAAGAATGCATATATTAAGGCTTTAATTGATTTGCAATTCAGTTTGCGTACTGCTAAATCAAATTCTTTAATAATTTCTCAGAGAAACATCTGTCATCTTTCTAATAATTGCGAAACGAAGGAATCAGGAATGGGTCATTGTGACTGATGGTTTTAGTATTAACATTAGGTTTACGAAACGCGTAAATTTGACGCGTATAGAATTTTATAAACATTAATTGATAAATGTTTACGTTGGTTTTGACTGCTGCAATTACACGAATATATACTTTAAGAGTCTATTTTTAGATCCCTAATTCTCAAGATCTAAACGAACTAATATCAATTTTTCTAGGAACAATAGAATAAGCCATGCAATAAACGTCTGTAAACCTAGTGTTAACAAAGAAATTTGTTTCTTCGAAATGACATGTATCTTCAAACTATTATAACGTGTATAAAGGTCACTTTTTCCTTCGTTTTTACTTAATGTTGATTTAACCAGCGAACTGTTGAGAACTCTTCGTTTCATTTCTTATAAAAAACGTCAAAACTTTTGCATCAACCCAATAATTACATTAAATAACCGTCGCACGCAAATTGCAGATTGTGAAATTAGAAACATATTTATTTCGTCAAATACTCCATCAGAAATCATAGATTCCAGGAAACTAGCTTGAAGGCAATAGCCTAATGTCTGTTTAATTTTCAGAAGAAAATTGTTCCATGAATTATTCTCGTAACATTGCGCGCGTAGATGTGATATGAAGAAATTCGTTTGACATTTGAGTGTGTGTAATGCCAATAAACAAATTATTACTCGCATGGAACAAGAAAATGTATTGAGTTGGAGCACGGTGCTTCCGTGATCGAAGAAGCAAGCAAAGAACATGGCGTCGATGCACGGACTACACGTTGAATAACTTCTTATGAACGTGTCATTGTGAGATCCTGCTTGAAATGATCGTCGATAAAGTGCGTGTGTGTCATTGATGATTGAAAGAGGATGATTAATGGCAATCGTTAGTTCGTAACACTTAGGTATGAACGAACGTAATAGCACATCAGCGGTTTAGGTAAGTAAATGCATTTGTTGGTATTGGACAGGATTATTGAGTGGTTAAATAAGTAGTAAAGTTTCTTGCATTAAGAAATTCGAACGAAAGTTTCGACGATCCTCGAAATAATATGGACGTTTTAAATAATGGGTATGTTGGAGTTTTTGTGTGACTTCTACAGAGAATTTTTAATAGCTTGCAGCTTGAAATTAGCATAAAAGTTTTGTTCAGTAGTTTTATTACATACTTAAAAAATTGTGCTACAGTTATTCGAATATTTTTAGACTGAAGATTTTTGTTTGATCAAATTATAAATCAATTTTAGAAGCTTATAATATTGTTAATAAATTTGTAATGTACAGCGAGATTGAAAAATAGACAATTTTATATTTGTCCTTGTAATCATAGATCATTTTTACCACGCAAATGCGTTACTGAATTTAAATTGGTGAATCCATTTAACTTAATAATTAGAATTATATTATTTCCTCGGAGAAACGTATGTTATTCTTGATTTTCAAAATCAATGAACTGCAAATACTATCAACTTAAAATAGTTCTCGAACTGAGATGGAGGTACTAATCGATAGTCCTTTAAGTGAACCACTCGTATCACTTTCGTAAAATATTAAACAAAGCTTGACTATAGAATATGTGCAATAAATTCATATAAACAATGAAGGTTCGTTTAATAATCAAATCAAATTAATGTATTCGGCCCTACTGAGGTATACCCATCGATTTTCATATTATGCTACGTACTTCCTATTGGACGGCATTTTACAGTACGAAGTTTCTTCTTTCTTACCCAAAATCTTGAATCTCATCGATTTCATGGAGGAACTACATACAATCGCATAATAAAAACGTTTTAAGTAATGAATCTATGTGCATGTAAAGAAAGGTTCCATTTTAAACTAAGATATCACATAAATCTGAATACGTAACAATTTTTGCTTGTACTGATTTACTAAAATATTCATATTTAATTGAAATGATGTGGAATAAGAGCTTAATGTATTTAGGTAAATACAAATGAATAATGGTAACGTAAAGTATAATCTTACGATCAAACTTTTACTTCATTTACAATGTTCTGAGACTGTAATCATTTTATAATTTATTAAACAGCAAATATCTGTCTAGACAAGATATATTTTGATTTTAAAGTAATCAGAATACGCTAGAGACGTGAATATAACGGTACATTTAGTATCTATTACGTGATTAAGTACAAATATCGAAACAATAATATTATGCAATAGCAAATTATTTCTCGTTTCGAATGAAAATTTTCGAATTCTAAAAATTATTAGTTTTGCATGTATTATAAATGGTAAAAATATCCATTTAATATCATTTGTTGTATTCGATTCACTAGGAAACGAAAATTTCGCTGGAGAAAAACGTGTGTTAACAATATGAAATTGTTAAATAAAAATTATGTACAAAAATAAAAATTTATGTTGTTTTTGGAATTAGTTTATCAACTCTACTAGTCCTCCTTGAGATACTACTAGCGTTCCTACGAAACATTTTCCTTTTGAAGGAACACGAGGCTACGATATTCTCAAAATAAGATTCTTTGGACTTACGGTAGCCTAGTGTCATAATTTGACTATTTTGTCCTTAATGATCGAATTGACGCACATCGAGACGTTCTTAGATTTATTTGTCCAGAGTTGGGCAAAATGTACCTTTGAAATCAAGTATAATTAAACTAATACGTTATGTTAGCCTTTGAAAAAAACAAAAACTACACCAAAGTAACATTAGGTTAACATCTTATTTCCATGTTAATGGAGATTTTATTTTTTTTAATGATTTTCTTATTTTGTTCAATGACAATACAAAGTTAACAAACAATATCTGATACAAAGTTAAATTTAACACCTTGGTTTACGTTTATTATAGATCTGAACAATACAAGATTTAAATTCATTTAATAATTAATTAGCATTAGCAATAAATACGTTTATATTAATCACTTTAAATATTCAAAATATATCCGAATCACATTACTTAGGAAACGTATTTTCACTGTTTAATAGACCTTTGTAGTTTAGAATTTCCAAAAATATTTTATGAGTACTGTTATAATCTAATGCATATAAATGAAAAAATATTTTATAATTAATGTTCTCCTAAAATTAGTTACGTTTTCTAGTTTTCCTTTGAATGCATTAGAACATGTAAAGATGGTTATATTGTTATATAAATATTCTGCTATTCATTTACATATCAGTCGCTCTGTTCGTTCTAACAATATTTCCATTTAACCCTAACGTTGCCATTTTCCTTTGATTCCTTCAATTCTAATTTCCGTACCTTATTCAACACTTTTGATTTTGCAACACGCTAAAATAAAATCTGCAGCAATTATTGCCCAACTCTGACCGAATTTCAGTGGCAGAGCACGTTCGCAAAACTTCACGAATAACTTAAGAATGTTCACAGGTTGTGCACGAGAAACGAATTCTTAACGAATCGTAAAACCAAAACGTAGCTTTGCACAAAAATCTCAACGTTCCTACTTTCGAATACAAAAGAATAGAGTGAAGTATCCAAGTAAATTAATCACAATTATTCTGATCGCTAAACAGTCACACAATCTAATTTCCTCGGTGCTAATTATGTAAAATTTCGCTCTTAGAATTGTGCACATCGTATATTTACAAAGTTAATCAAAAGTTTGGGAGTGGTACAATGCATTCGAACTGCGCAGAGAAAATGTGAACCGTTTCATTCTTGTTCCATTTGATAATACGATAAACGTCCTCTTAACACCAGAACTACCAAACAAATTAAAATGGCCTATTCAAAAATTTCTATTTTACAATTACTACAATTATGAAAATGATTTTGTGAGAAATTGTAAAATACACTTGTGTATTCGTACGGATGCAATAGTAAGTGATGCTTCAAATCTCAAGATATGTACTGTTTTAATTTTTTTTTAAATTCTAAATAAGCCATTCTAATTGCTACTGCTAGTGTCAACATGTCACATTTTAACTGGTTCCCTTTTTGATCAGCTATGTTTTAGAAGAATCTTCTTCCACGAATCAAACTTCACATCGTGTAAATTTTTTTCTATTTTGCCATTCTTCGAGGAACAATTAATCAGGATTCTACTCTATTTAGAAAACGTATTCACACGTACACCGTGTTGTAATATTATATCCTAATACGTAATTATAGGTCGAATATACCCAATGTTTTAAATCATAAATAATTACCTACTGCAGTATTTTATGTACAGTAAAACCTCATTAGGTAAACAAACTAAAACAAAATTGGAATTCTATGCAAATATAAACTCATACAACTAATAAGTTAACTAACTAAATGGATAATTTCTATTAGATAGCTCTTTATTTTGTTCGTTTGTAACTAAATGGTTATTTCTACATGTTTGCACACAAGTTTGAGATTCCATTGTCAAGGTTCTACTATAGCATAAACAAGTAGTAGAAATCATTAAACAGCAACTAAATCTCAGGATATAAACTCAATGCCCTAATTTGATAAATTACTGTATTTCTTCTTCTATGTGAACATTTCGAAATTTATAAAGAAAATTACCTTTGAAATTGCGATTTGTGACATTCAACAGAACATATTCATCATTACGCACTAGCATTTCGTATTTTACGTAATTGGGAATTATTTTGAGAGAAATGATTAAAGAAGAAAGTTATTTTATATTATTATTTAAGTCAGATATTATTGTATTATTACTATTTTAACAAACCATCATACTCCAATAGCTTCTAACAGGTGACTGTCATTCAAGAAGAAATTATTTCTTCTTAAAATTTATTTCCAAGAATAAAAAAATGAAAGAAAGTATTTCAAAAAAAGAAATTTTTATTTTATTCATTTTACTTTAGCACAGGTATATTTAAATACTTGTTTCTCATAAATGTTTCCCAAACTTTTGATCTATCGTGTGATCGCACGTGTGTGTGTGTAACTATGTATGTATGTGATATGTGTCATCAGCGATTATTACACGAAGAACACATACATTTGTAAAGCTTTGATGCTAGAAAAATAGTTGTGAATACATCGAATATACAAAAGACACTTCATTGTGTGTTATTAGAAACGAGTGGAATACAATTCATTCTATTTTCCACAGCAAACAGCAAACCTTTGGACATTTTCATTATGAATGTCTTCTTTTCAACGTTGTTACTCTTAATCACGAATGAAGTGTAATCTATGTGGCAATCGTTTGTAAATATAAATTAACATTAAGACTTTCAGTTATTTATTGATAAAGGATACTTAATCGATAAAAGTAACAAATACTTTCTTAATAGTACCCAATGTTTTCCTTCATGGTGTTCAATCTGAGATTTTCTCTTCAGTGGAAATGTTGCTTCGATTCACGTTCTTTGGATATCTCGTAATTATCGTAAGAATCCTGTAGTCAAAATAACTTGTTCACACTTCCTTCTTGCCATTCATCCACGAAGTAATCTTACAAATAAATTCAATTCATCTTCCACCGTTCTAGGCTTTCCCTTCGAATACCCTGTCGCAATCCTTCCTCGATTCATCGATCGTGAAATCACGAAGAAAATTTTGTTCCTTATTCTATATGTTCCGCCATCTCGTTTGTTTCAGAAGGACACTTTTCAAGGAGAGGTAATAATCGTTTTAAAGCAATACATTCTTAATCTCCTTGCATTCGTCGCCACGAATTTTCTGCGGGCTCTATTAAAAAATTATCATTACCTTCTATATTATTATTTAACTCCTTCACAAATTTATTACAATAATCATCTTTTCTTCCATCGTTCGCGTAACTTTCCGAAATTACATTCGACGACTGTTCAATTCCTTTTCTTGTTTTACGTTCCTGCTGTTTCTTTTATTCATTTCACGCTACTCGACCACGAAGGACACTTCGAAAATAAATCAGTGTGCTTAAATGTCATCGACTGAAGGGGGTTAGTAATTTACAATCCATTGTAGAACGCTTGTGTCATTTCCGCCAGTGGAAATTAATCGTGTGTCGTCTTGGAGGAACGACACGTTTGTGACGTGACTCGAGTGACCGCCGTATGTGTGACAGAGGGACTGAAACAACAGAATTTTATTTGAATAATTTAATCGCTGAGAATTTATATTTACCAAATTCTTTATAAATATTTCATTATTGGCTCACCCCATAAATAATGCGGTATTTTTGTATTTCTTTTATTATTAAGAATAAAGGTAAACGAAACTTTTTTCAAATTAGTTATAATTTATAGATAATGAAGACAAATGTTTTAGATTAAAAACAGATTCTTTTTATTTTTTAAAATAAATGAAATATAACAATCGCATTATTTATGGGATCATCCAATATATT